AACCTGGCCTACAGAACTAGTTCCAGGACAGGCTACAAAGCTACACAGAGAAACCCTGTCTGGACAAACCAAAAAGAAAGAATGAGAAAAAAAAAGAAAGAAAGAAAAAGCCTGGTACAGAAAAACATCCCCCTTCATAGTCATCTCTTTAGTATATGAAAAACTGCCTAGGACCTGCTCCTCTGTCTCCTAGATGTTCACCAAAGCCCTTAACTCATCTGGTCTGTCCTCTGACCCTATCTAGTTCAGGGAAGGGAAATGGGTAGCAAACATACTCCATTCTCTGCTACCATGTCTGTGACAGACATCACAAATCAATCGTGGCACCTTCTCCATCAACACTCAACTTCAGAACCCTTCTTCATCCAGAGCCCAAGCAGTCCCTACCTATTGGTCAGCTAACGGGGTAGAGGTCAAATCCAGGCTGGGTCTTCATCTTCTGACTAATCAAAATTGCCCATGGCTGGGAAACCAGCTATGTAGCAAAACCCTCACCCAACACGTGAAAGACCCTGGGTTTCCAGAACCACAAAGAGAGAAAGAGAAAGCATACAATTTCTTGTTCCCAGCCACATGCATGCTTGGGAATTTCATCCAAAGAATCAGTAAACAGAATTGTTTTAAAATGACAACACTTAGCCTCAAAGATGTTCACTGTCAGCAAATACCAGATGTGCTCATAATTCAACAGAAAATGAATACATAAGTAAACAGGGCTCGCTTAATTGGTAGAATGCTTGCCTCGCATGCGCAGACCCCTGGGTTCCATCTCGGACCGGATAAAGAGGGTGCAGCGGCACACACCTATAACCTCGCCACTTAGGGAGGTAGAGGCAGGAAGTTCAGGGGCCCAAGGACACCTCAACTGCATAGTGAGTTCAAGACATGTCTCAATACTAAATACCAGCACTCCCCATAGCAATTTCAATCCCATTGCTCAGGAGAGGAAACAGGGATACAGGGAGGTGAGAGGCCAGAAACATGATCTTCGGGAGCTTCTAGCCAAGGCTGGCTGAAGTCCACACGAGAAAGAAAGCACATGATTGCCACTAGACTCAGTCTGGGGTGGGCACTCACGGATCAGGGCCTGGCTACTGAGCCTAGGGGCCACACAGGCACAATCATGTGTGGTGCAGGCCTGTTTTGAAAGGGACTTTGTAGAGACAACCAGAAGACAGAAAATGGAGAGGCACCGGAAAGGGGGCAGGCAAAGCCTCAGAACACACACCCAGGGAGCTTGGGCCTTGGAACACTATAGGGAGGCCTCCCACCTTCAGGGAGCTGGCAAGCAGGAGTTCCATGGTTCTGCGTTGGGCATGGCTACTAGGCAGCTGGCAAGTGCCACACACAGGCACGCTGACCATGGGCTAGGAGTAGGTCTAGAGTCTAGTGAGGGGCAGCAAGCCACGGCTGGCACAGCACAGTCATTTGGTTGAAGCAGCTTCGTGTGCGTGCTGGACCTCTCCTTGAACAAAGCCAACGTAGGCTCCACGCTGTGTTTCAGATGACGCCCCACCTTCAAAATGGTTTCCCTTTGGTAAGTAAGTAAGATGGCTTGGCAGATAAAGGAGCTTGCTGCTAAACCTGTAACCTGAATTTGATCCCAGTCCCCAAAACCTACATAGTAAAAGGAAAGAGACTCCACGACGTTGCCCTCTGACCTCCACATGCACGCACACACCCACATATCACGCACACATACAGAATATTTTTAAACTCAATAAATTAATACAAAGAAACTAAAGAGCTCATGAGAGTGATTTGCAAGGCAGGCCTGATCCACTCTCTGATGTGAGGCAGCCTGGCCTGGCACCGGGAAGTCTCCCCTGCTGGCCACCACATTGTCCTCACAAGCCTGCAGAGGCACCAGAACAATGGGCAGACAACAGTGCAGCAGGGTGATCTCAGCCAGGGAGCTGTCTGTCCGCTCAGCACATTCCCCAACTCAGGGCAGCAACTCAGCCCAGCTTCCTGCAGCCTCTGCTGCCCTGCGGCTGGTGGAGAAGGGGACTTTTGTCTAGTTTTCCCAGGCATGGACCTTTCAGTGACCTTTCTGACTTCCAGTCTCAAACGGGCCTCAATCCCCCATCCTCCTGCCTCCACACTAGAGTGCTGAAGTTACAGGCATGCACCTCCATCTGGCCAGGAATCCCAGCTCCTCATCTGAGTGACACCAGCATACCTCAACTCCCATCATGCCTCTGAACTGGATGGGACCTCAGGGTAACTCAAACCATAAAGCCCCAGCCCCACCCCCAGACGGCAGTCAGGGTTCTTTGAAGGGACCCGACTATCACAGAGGTAGCAGGCCTCTCTCTTCTGGGGTCCAGACCTTGAAGGGTCACTGAAGCCTGGATGTTCCTTCTGCTGGGCAGAGGGTGGCAAAATCCAGAGAGAAAGAGAACAAATGGGAAATGAAAGTTCCCTGAGCCGGGATCCAGCCATGATTCCCTGATGCCCTCACATCCCCATGTAAAGAGCCAGCCAATTCCACTTAACTTCAGCTTCTCAGAGCCTGCAAATCCACGACTGAAAACCAGTATTCCCACCATGAAGGTGCCACGAGAGAAGCCAGGTCCCCGAGTCACCCCCACTTACAGCTCTACTTGGCCACTGTAACCATTCAGAGTTCGCAGAATCTCGAGGCTGGGACTGCAGCTTGGCCCTGGCTGGAACCTCAGCACCACGAAACAAGCGTGCAATAAACAACTAACGGAACAACAGTCTAGTCAAGTCTGGTAGCTCATTGTCACACTCAAACCCAGAGGCAGAAGTCTGAGGGCAGACTGGGCTACAGAATGAGGCCCCTATCTCAACAAAATTAAATTAAAATGAGATGATAATGGGGCCAGCAGATAACTCAGCGGGTAAAGGTGCTTGAGGTGCTTCCGATGAATTTGATCTCTGGAGGTCAAGGAAAGACAGAGAGAACGCACTCTGTAGTGCTGTGCACAGACACTCAGTGTTGCACGTACACGTGTAAACGCAAGGAAAGACAGGAGAGAACGGACTCTGTAGTGCTGTGCACAGACACTCAGTGTTGCACATGGGGCACACACACATACACACAAATGCAACAGAATTAATTAAGAACCCACTCTAAATGCAATAAAGCTGACCCTCACGCTTATAAGCCCTTGAATCCCTCCTAGGGTTCTACAGAGGCCATCCAGCAGGGGCTGCAAGCTGCTCAGGCAGTAAGATGCTTGCATAAACTCAAAGGGAAAGGAAAAAGCTGGGTATGGTCAGGCTCCACCTGACTCCAGCACTCAGGAGGCAGAGACAGGGGAATCTCTGTGAGTTCCAGGACAGCCAGAGCTATATAGCAGAGAGAGCCTGTGTGCTGGCTAGTTTTATGACAGCTTGTCATAAGCTATAGTCATCACAGAGGAGAAAGCCTCAATTGAGACTATGTCTCCATAAAATCCAGCTGTATGAAAGTCTGTAGGACATTTTCTTAATTAGTCATTGATAGGGGATGCCCAGGCCATTGTAGGTGGCACCATCCCTGGACTGGTGGTCCTGGATTCTATAAGAAAGCAGGCTGAGCAAGCCATGAGGAGCAAGTCGGTAAGCAGCACCCCTCCATGGCCTCTGCATCAGCTCCTGCTTCTAGGTTCCTGTCCTGTCTGAGTTCCTGTCCTGACTTCCTCCAGTGATAACAGTGACATAGAAGTGTAAGCCAAATAAATAAAGCTTTTCCTCTCAACTTCTTCCCATCATGGTGTTTCATCACAGCAATAGCAATCCTAAAACACCCTGTCTCAAAAGAACACTTTTTAAAGGCAGCCGGTGTGTCAGTCAGGGAGCCAAGGGAAAGTACCACATAGTTAGTTTGTTTTTGTTTCATTTTATGTGTATGGATATTTTGCTTACCTGTATGTCTGTGCATCACATGCAGTGACCATGGAGGCCAGAAGAGAGTGTCAGACCCCCTGGGGCTCCAGGGGCAGAGGGTTTTTGAGCTCCCACATGAGTGCCAGGAACCAAACACAGGCTCTCTGGAAATGCAGCCAACGCTCTTAATCACTGAGCCATCTCTCCAGTCCCATTGTCTCTCTGTCTGTCTGTCTTTCTTTCTTTCCTTTTTTTTTTTTTTTTTTTTTTTTTTGATTTTTCGAGACAGGGTTTCTCCGTAGCTTTTGGTTCCTGTCCTGGAACTAGCTCTTGTAGACCAGGCTGGCCTCGAACTCCCAGAGATCCGCCTGCCTCTGCCTCCCGAGTGCTGGGATTAAAGGCGTGCGCCACCACCGCCCGGCTATTGAGACAGGGTTTCTCTGTGGAACTCGCTCTATAGACCAGGCTGGCTTCAAACTCAGAGATCCGCCTGCCTCTGCCTCCCAAGTGCTTGGATTAAAGTTGTACGCCACCACTGCCCTGCTCCATCATTTTTCTTTGCACATGTCACTTGGCCCTGAGCAACAGCCAGCCTGAAGGATTGAAGGGCTGGCCACATCTACTCTGGTCACTGAAACAGCAGTTCGGATAAACTAAAAGAAGGAAGGCCTCTGGCCTCTAAGATTTGGGAAATCCTTCTACACGCTCATCTTGCTTCACTAATACAAATTCAGATTTCCCTTTCTTCGGGTGGCTCCTTACCCAACCCACAAACAACCTCACCATGTACGGTGCTGTGGACACTGCTACTGTCATAACTGTGACAATACGCCCCACTGTCAATCATCAGGTGAACGTGCACTGAGCAAGTGTGAGCTGAGCAAGGGTGAACATGTTCCTGTGCCAGATGCTGTCCTGGGAAGGATCCCATCTGCTCCCCTAGGTCCCCATGGGCACTGCTGGGAGCCATCCACACTGGGACAGGCAGTGGTCTCCATTCAGGTCATCGTGTCAGCCCCCTTCTCCGTGGCCTGCTGGCTGTGAAGAGCTGGATGTCCAGCCGCTATGTTATTAGGTGTGGCGGTCAAGGTGGCAGAGTCCACCCCATACCCCCCATCCCAACTGGAAGGTGACCCTTGCGGACACGCAGCAGACCACATTACCTGGACCACCTCCTTCACCAGCGTCTTGTCGGTCCCTGTCTTGGCTCGCTGCAGCCCACTCACGTCCTCCCCTATCCACGTGATGAGGGCAAACTTGGACCTCTTGCTCATGGCATCACCGGTGGTAAAGCGCACAAAGGCAAACAGTCGGACGTCATCTGTAGCCAAAACAAAGAGAACGTGGTACTCAGTAAAGATTCCCTGACACCGTCTCCCTGGGAAGAGGCCACGGGTCACAGGAGTGTCCAGTAAGAAGGTGTATCCACAGACCTCGGCAGCATCCTCTCCGATGCCTGCTTCACAGAGGGGAAGTGGAGGCATAGCCTGGTCATGTGACAATTGATGGTGAGACACATAGCTGGAGAAATGCTGGGATTTGTGCTCAGGCCTCCCTGGCTATCACCTCTATGACCTTCATGGGCCAAGACTCAAAACACGAATGTTATTTTGAGATAGATAGTCACCACTTCAGGCTGGGAATGCGGCTCAGTGGGTAGAGGGGTTCGCCTAGTGTGCCTAAGGCTCTGGGTTCAATCCCCCAGCACCTCCTAAACCAGGTAAAGTAGCTCATGACTGCAACCCCAGCATTTGGGAGGTGGAGGCAGGAGGCTCAGAATTCAAGGCCAGCTTGGCCTATAGGAGGTACTGTCTCAGAAAACCAAAGTTGCCAAATCATCTTTAAGGTTCTACCCGGAATGGGAAAGCCACTCTGGAGAGACAAGAGCCAATGCAAGCAAAGGTGCCTACGACAGGACAGTGAAATCCATGACATCGTCCAGCTGGAAAGCCAGGCGACTTAGGCTGCTTACACCATGCTTGCTCATTTTCAAGAGAACTCTTTGGGCGGTGGCTCCACTGAGCTACGTTAGAGTTCTATAGTTACTTTGCAGTCTCTCTCAAAACCCACGCCAAGCACAACCTCACCAAGTTCCATCTTCCACTGTCCGCTCCCCACATTTCATATGAGAGGCAGTGGCAGTGTATGCTTTTAACCCCAGCACTCAGGAGGCAGAGACAGGCAGATCTCTGTGAGTTTGAGCCCAGTCTTGTCTGCAGAGTGAGTTCTGGGACAGAAACCATCTCAAAAAACTGGGGGGGGGGGGGGGGAGAAAAGAAAAGAAAAGGAGATGTAGGACTAGCTAAGTCACTGTGGTGCGGTGTGCCATGATTTACAGGGTGTACACAATACCCCCAGCCTCCACCACTAAAGACACTAAAGCTGTGACAGGCAAAAACACAGCCACACTCTCAGCTGTCCCCCAGGGACAGAACCACCTGTCCATTTACGGGGAGCAGGGGGCTATCCGTGAAGGCAATGTTCAATGGACAGAGGTCAGAGGTCAGGGGTCAGAGATCAGGGAACAACTTTGCCAAGTTTGTTCTCTCCATTCACCGTGTTGGTTTCAGGGGTTGAACTCAGCCTGCCAGTCCTGGTGGCCTGCGCCCTTACCCACTGAGCTCTCACCAGCCCACGCAGTTTGTACTTGCATGACACTATTGTAGGAATAGTCTACATCTTTCACTTTTTCTTCAAAATCCGAATGTCTGACAGTTGGAAACTTATAAAAAATGTCACTGGGAAAACAGTGCGCTCAAGCATGCGCACACATCATTTTAAAGGACACAACTGTGCAGCCATCACCATAGCATAATTTCAGAACGTTCTCATCAACCAAAAAGGAAACTCAAACCCAGGAACAACTGCTCCCATGCTCACCCAGGCCCGGGCAACCACTAAACCTGTCTCTCTCTGTATTTGCTGAGATCACTGATCTAAGCAGTCACACAAGTGATATCATATCACACATGGGGACCAAGTTCTCTCACAAATAAATCACTGTGTTCTCCAGGTTCACCTCTGTGCTGTGCACCTGTGTGTGTGTGAATGTGTGTGTGCGTGGTGGTCAGAGTACAACCCCAGGCGCTGTGTTTCAGGTGCTGTCTGTCTGTCTCCCACTGGCCTGAAACTGAGCCAGTATGCTAGGCTGGCCAGCCAGTGAACTCCTGTCTCTGCCTCCCCAGTGCTGGGATGACAAGTGCATGGCGCCATGCTGGCTTGATGCGGGCTCTGGGAATGAAACACAGGGCCTCAAGCACTTCACTGTGCGAGCTAGCTCTGAAACACCCTTTATTTCTATGACTCCCTCTGGACCCAGAACATTCCACGGTATTATTATCTACCCATCATCTGATAGACATCAGAGCTACTTCCAAAATGGCAGCTCCACACTCTGCCCATCGTCTGGGAAGAGGGGACATTTGCACTATAGACCTAGGTGGCCCACCAGACAGAGCTTCCATCTGAAGCTACTGTCCTGGTGCAGGGATGCCAGGGTGCCGCTGGGTGGCCTGGGGTTAACTTTGAACTCTTGAAGATGAAGGCTGCTAGGTTACAGGGACACAGGCCTTGTGGCTGATGCAAAGGGGACATGAGTAGCTGAGCGCATTTCCCAGCACGAGATGGGCAGAAGCATGGGCAGTGTTGTAGGCACTGTGTCCCAGTAACCAGCACTGAGAAGTTTGACTGAATTTCACCCTTGGCCTATAGGGGAAGCAGGCACCCATCCCAGTCACCTCCCTACCAGCTTTCACACAAAAGACCACCAGTGTCTGTTTCCACAGCAACGGCTTCCCAGTTCTACAGTGCCAATGTGGACTCTCGGGCGCAGCGACTGTGGGTCGCTGCCAAAGACTCTGTATGGGGCAGTGACTGGAGCCCCTGACCTCACTCTCCATTCAGCCAAGTGCAAGAGCCTTCCAGAGGCATCAGCTCTCCCTGCCTCTCCTCCTGTCACCCTCCTGGAGGGTGGGTCAGATTTCCCGCACCACAGGGGACTTTCACAAGGTGGACCTCTCAAGCCTATCTCCCACCCATTTCAGATACTCTGCCACCATGGTTCTTTTTAATTTTTTTTTCTTTTTTTGACTTTTGAGACAAGGTCTCTCTGTGTAGCTTTGGGGCCTGTCCTGGAACTCGCTCTGTAGACCAAGCTGGCCTTGAACTCACAGAGATCCACCTGCCTCTGCCTCTGCCTCCCAAGCGCTGGGATTAAAGGCGTGCGCCACCACCGTCCAGCTCTTTTTAAATTTTTATTTAATTGTATTTCTTATTATGAATGTATGAAAGTAATGTGGGGTATGCATATAGAGGTCAGAGTCAGTTCACTCTCTTCCCACATTTATGTAGTTCTGGGGATTGAACTTAGGTTGTCAGAATTTGTGTGGCAATCACCCACTGAGCCATCCTGCCAGCCCCTTGATTTCCTTTGACATTCCCTAGCAAACATCCAGTAAAACTTGTATCCTAAGGACTAGCCTATGAACAGAAAGTAAGTCACATCTGTCCCCGAAAGGCACTGGGAACCTTCCAGAACCCCATACTGACTTCATTTAAGCAACCACGGGGGAGGAAGGCAGCGCATATGGAGTGACTGGCTGAGTGCTGGTCCAGCCGCAGTTTGCTCAGGAAGACTGCTGACAGGCACATTTTCGGAAATCCGAGTGACACTGCACTTACAAGTGCTGGACACTAGAGACCTGGCCAGACAGGATGTCAGCTGAGGATGGACAGAAGGCCTGTGGGTCCCAGCAGCATTTTTACCACTTCTTCAAAGCCCTGGACTGTCCCTGTCACTCTGAAAGCTTGGGAGAGCAGGCGGCCCTTTGGGGAAGTCCACGTCCACTCCTTTCTCCAAACATAAGGGCTCCGAAGCTGTCAGAGCCCATGCCCAAAAGCAAGCCACTTCTCAAACAGAAGCACGGACAGCAGGCGACTGAAAAGCAGGGGGAACTCCTCCATGTGTGCACATGTGTGTACACACACATGATAAGATGACAAACTAGCCAGAAGGCTGGCGCCTGGGCCTGCTGGCATCCCCTCAGTGATACTCTGTTCCCGGCTTGGGTGAGGAACTAGAACTTGATTCCCTGCTGCAGTCTAGAACCATGGTTCTCAATCGTGGCACATTCCCAGCCTTTCGACACACAGAAACCCAAAGGATGTGTGTGTGGACGAACTGGGAACTCTGGGGGACGGCTCAGGAGCTGAGCTTGAACAAGCCCCTGGGGTGACTCTGATGGGCCAAAGCTTGAGAGCCACTATGGAAAGAATAAGGCAAGGTGGGCATGGAGGGCTCCAGTATAGGGATGGCACACTGCAGCTGGTGGGCACAAGAGATGGACGAGAGAGCCCCAGGGTGGAAAAGCAGAAGTCCTCAGAGCTCAGCCCCATCCTTCCTCCTGCCCCACATCCCCCTCATTTTAAGGAAGTGATCAGGCCAAGCCTTCTGCAGGGCCTAGTCCCCCTTTTCCACATGACCCTCTGCAGGATCAGAGACATAACCATCAAAGGTGACAGGACTGTCCCTGAAACTCACCCTGCCCTTTAAAGTTGTCAGGAGCCGTTTTCCCCCCCAAAATTATTACAGGAACCATTGCCCTGAGGAGTTAGCAGAGAACCCCACTCACTCCTAACAATAATTAGAATTGTTCTAGTGGCAGAGCCTATCCCTCTCCCAATTATCTGTTAATAGAGAGCTATCTGAACCGCCTCACATTCTAAACGATCTAGAGAACTAAGGTGTGTCAACTTGTTACTTCCTGGCCGAGGAACCGTGACCTGACCTTTCATAACCTACTGGCCTATGTGACCAACGTGAACCACGTGGCAAGAGCCCAGGCCCTTGTGTTCCCCCCCGCCCCCAAATTCCTTATCCTATATAAGCTGTAACCCTGACTCTAATAAACGAAGGCTTCGACAAATCTGCCTGGCCTTCTTCCTCTCTCTTGCTCATGTCTTTTCAGATAGTGCCTCTCCAGGACCCTGGAATAACTGACTGCAGGGTGGGTTACAACCCCTAGACTAAGTAACCCACCCAAGGCGGTCTACATAAAGCCACAGCAGGAAAAGGGGCCATTGACCAGTGTCATAGGGAATCCTGACTCGCTTCAGAATACCTTACTGTTCACCTACTGTGTCAAGAAGCCTTTGTCCTGATTACCAGGGCATGCATTACAAATCCACTTTAATCCCATTTCACGAGGGACATCGCTGAGAGCAAGATGAGACCAGGCCAGTGCTGGAGGGTTGGCACTAGTTCTGTGCCCTCCCCAGGTATGCCAGGCCCAGGGTGATTGCACAGGATGCTCCATCTCCAAT